GAGGAGCAATGTCTTTCTCCAATTGCCTCGTACTGTCCTCTGTCGTCGTCGTTGTCGCCGTCGTCATCATCGCCCTCCGCATTCCTCCTCGTACTCGCCCTCGTTCTCTTCGTCCTCGTCCTTCTCTTCCTCCTTGTTGTCCTCATGCTCCTCCTCGCTATCCGCACGTTCGCCACGTCGTCCTCGTCATCGACTCCTCGTTGTCCTCGCCTTTCTTTTCTTCTTCGCCCAATACGCCCATTAGACTACAGCGGCGCTTCCCGTTCTTGTCCGATCAGGTTCCGGAAAAATGGCCGTTTCGCTCGGGACATCCTCAAAAAATCGGCTCCGGAGGGGACTCCGAAACAGCATTATCTTGGAATCGCTCGCGGAGGGCCTCCAAACGGCCCAAGAGAGACCCCGAAGGCCCCCCAGAGGACCCCCCAAGCGCCCCAAGAGACCCCCAAGAGCCCCCAGGAAGCTGCCCCCAAGACCTACCCTCTCGGAACCCATCACGGCCCAGGATGTCCCTCATGACGGCCTCGAGAACGGCCTCCAGACGAACTCGAGGCTGACGGGAAGCTCCTCCTACGTGGTACCGTTGGCTCTGGGGCTTAATTTTCTCTAACTAAGGGGTACGGGCCCGCACTTCGGAACTCGCTGGCGGAGGCCTGCGGCAGCAGAGGGACGCGGGCACCCCGAGCCAGTCGGCACGGGTCCTCCTGCTCGTCGTCGTCGTCGTCGTCGTCGTCGTCGTCGTCGTCGTCGTCGTCGTCGTCGTCGTCGTCTTCGTCAATAACGATCTCGAAAATTACGACAAAAAACGATGACAGAAAACGACCACTAACATAACACAAAAACCAACCGAACACGGAATCCAACAACAAAAAAACAATCAGAAAAACGACCGCAATCATAAAATGAAAACGACGGCGACAGCGAGAACGGCAACAGCGGACGATTATAATGAAAACGACGACCACGACAAAGGAAAGGCACGCGACGACGACGACGGACAAACAAAAGACAAGACAGGCTGGAACAGAAAAAGTAGGCTGGGCGACAACGGGTGGGGGGCCGCGTGGCCGAGAGAAAAGCACTGTGTCGACACCATGATGTGGCCAGGGCAGCAGACTACCTCGACAGACCAGCGCGGCAGGCCATCATTTAGTCTGTTCTGTTGCGTTTATGGGTTTCTCTGACGTTCTCGCCAATACGGTCTCTGACGCACGTGGTGGATAAAAAACGGCGCTTCCCGTTCTTGTCCGGTCAGGTTCCGGAAAAATGGCCCTCGTTCTATTCGTCCTCGTCCTTGTGCTTCTCTTCCTCCTCGTTTTTCCTCATGCTCCCCCTCGCTATCCTCACGTTCGCCACGTCGTCCTCGTCATCGACTCCTCGTTGTCCTCGCCTTCCCTTTCTTCTTCGCCCAATACGCCCATTAGACTACAGCGCCGCTTCCCGTTCTTGTCCGATCAGGTTCTGGAAAAATGGCCGTTTCGCTCGAGACATCCTCGAAAAATCGGGTCCGGAGGGGACTCCGAACCGGCATTATCTTGGAGTCGCTCCCAGAGGGCTTCAAAACTGCCCAAGAGAGCCCCCGAAGGCCACCCAGGGGACCCCCAAAACGGCCCAAGAGACCCCCAAGAGGCCCTCAAGAGGCGCCCAGAGGCCCCCCCGAGCGCGCGAAGAGGCCCCAGGACTGGCCAAGAGAGCCCCAAGACGGCCCAAGAGAACGCCAAGACAGCCCCAGAGAGCCCCCATACACCCTCGAGAGACGCCTGAGTCCAAGAGGGTCGCAGAAGCCTCCAAGAGGCTCCCAAAATGCTCCCCACGGGCCCAAATCAGGCCCCCAGAGCCCCACGACGGTCCAAGATAACGCAAAGACAGTCCAAAGAAAAAGCGCCAAGAGTCGACTCGGGTTCGATCGCTCTTGGAGTGTTTTCCAAACGGCCCACGGGAGGCCCAAAAGAAAACCCCCAGAGCCCCAGGATCTCCCGAAGATCGCCCGAGAAGACCCCCCGAGAGACCGCCCAAGAGCACCTCCTAGAAGCCACCCACGAACAACAGCTCACATCACGAACCCCAAGACGCCCAAGAAGGGCAGAAAGCCCCCCAAGAGACTCCCGGAGGCGCCCCATGAGGCCCCCATCGCCGAGACGGCCTAAGAAAAGCTCCCCACAGAACCCTACGACGGCGCCAGTGAACAGCCCAAGATGAACCCCAGAAGCCCAGAAGAGGACACAAAGGGTCCCCGAGAAGCCCCCAACAGGCCCCAAGAGAACCCCGCGCGGCGCCAGGAGCAACGTCTTTCTCCAATTGCCTCGTACTCTCCTCTGTTGTCGTCGTCGTCGTCGTCGTCGTCGTCGTCGTCGTCGTCGTCGTCGTCGTCGTCGTCGTCGTCGTCGTCGTCGTCGCCCTCCGCATTCGTCCTCGTACTCGCCCTCGTACTCTTCGTCATCGTCCTAGTGCTTCTCTTCCTCTCGTTGTCTCAGCTCCTCGCGCAATTCCTCGACGTTCGCCCACGTTCGTCCTCGTCATTCGACTCCTCGTGTCGCTCGCCTTCCTTTTCTCTTCGCCAATAACGCCTCCCAATAGACAAAAGCGGCGCTTCCGCGTTCTGCCCGATCAGGTTTTTGAACCTCTCTTGGGGGTCTCTCATTGGAATTCTCCCTTGAGGCGTCTTGGGGCGTTCTTGTGCCTTCTCAGGCCGATCTTGGGCACCAGGAGCGCTCTTGGGCGTTTTCGGGCGCCTCCTGGACGTCTTGGTGGCCTCCTGTGCCCCTTTTTTTGGCCCGTCATGGCGTTTTTGGGATTCCCGGGGGGGGGGGGGGAAAGAAAGGGTGGACCCGATGAACCCCCCCCCTCCCCCCCCTACCCCGGCAGAGCCCCCCTGGCCCCCGCCCCCCAGCAGAGCTGAAGCTCAGGTTGTAGCTTTTTTAAACTCGCACGCCGGATCGGCGGATTTTCCTTCTCCTTCTCGTCCTCCGCCTCCTGCTGCTCCTCGTCCTCGTCCTCATCATCCTCCCTGCTCCCCCTCCCCGTCCTCCTGCGCTCATGTTCCCTTCTCGCTCGCCCTCCTCCGGGTGGCCTTCCCAGCTTTGCCGGCGGGCGTGGTGCACGTAACCCCCGTTTCCACATTCACAGCCAGCTCTACGTGAACGACGCAAAAAGATAAGGTCGTCCGCGCCGACATTGGCGCGTAAGCTGCCCGCGTAAGGTCGCGCGTGAACGCCTTCGTCTCCAAGAGAGCCCCAAGACGGCCCCAAGATGCGCCCAAGAGGTGGACCACGACTTCAAAGTTCGACCTTCCCGCTTGAAGAGTGCCTGAGGAGGCTCCAAGGAGGGCCCCAAGAGGCCCCCAAAGCCCCCCTCCGGGCCCCAAAAGGTTCACAGTAGACGTACACGGGGCCCCAAGATAGCATAAAAGTGCTCTCGATGCATCAAATTTGCTTCAAGGAGGCCGAAAGGCTTCCGGATTGCCCCAATGTGGCCTCAAGCCGGGCCTCCACGCAGCCAAGACGGCCAATTGATTGCTTCAGACTGCAGAAGATCATTTTCCCACTCCCGGAGAACCCTGACGATGCCCCCAAGGGACCCCAAGAAGCCCCAAGATGCCCCCCGAAAAGCACCCAAGAGATGCCTCCAACAGCCAAGTGAGGAAGCACGGAGAACCCCCCAGAAGCCCTTCAGATGCCCCCGCGAAGACCCAAGAGGTTCCCAAGAGGACCTCAGGAGGCACGACTATGTCACGCGCCTGTGCTTGATAGCGCTGTCCAAGATCTTCTAGCGCGCCCCCGGCCTGGGCTAGAACCTGAGCGCGCGCGAAGCGCGCGCGCTGGTTCTAGTATATATATATATATATATATACACATATAACCGAAAAAGTCCGCGAACCAGGTAAAGAACTTGAGCGAATGCTGTTCTGACGCGCGTGACACATGTTCTCCTTCCTCCTCGTTCCTCTTTCATCCCTCTTCCTCGTCATCATATTCCTGCCTCCACGTTGCTTCGCCCCATCGTCACCTCCCTCCTGTACGGCGACACATGTGCACGCGTGAAGAATCCGACGCGACCAAGTTGGGTCCCCCCCTGGAGGGCGTGGACACGTAAAAATACGCGCCCCTCGCGCACCTTCCAGGCGAATGTTGGCCCCCCCCTCCGCGCACCCACTGTCACGCATTAAGAATCCGACGCGCCCAGGTTGGGCTTCAGCGGGGGGCTGTGGACATGTAAATATACGCACCCCGCACGCACGCGCCACGCGCAGGTTGGATTCCCCCCCCTCCGCGCATAGATTTTCACGTGTGAAATAACCGGCGGGCCCGAGTTGGGTCGCCCCCTGGGCGCACGCATGTTCACATGTGACGAGTCCGACGCGTCCAAGTTGGGTCCCCTCCTGGGTGCCGTGGGCACGTGAAAGTACGTGCCCCGCGCGCACGCGCCAGGTGCATGTTGCCCCCCCCCTCCGCGCACGTAGTTTTTCACGAGTGAAGAATGCGACGCGCCCAAGTTTCGAAGTCCTCTTGGAACCCTCCTGGGGCGTCTTGGGCGCTGTTTGGGCCGTCTTGGGACCAACGTGGGCCATCATGGAAAGCTCTTGGCCTGAGGCCGTGGGGCCTGCCACCCACTTGGCGCCTCATTGGGGCGCTCTGGGGGCTCCCGAGCCAGTAGTTCTGGCATCTCTGACCCGACCTGGGAACTTGCCGGGGCTTGCCAGGACCTTGCGGGGGCATTTTTCGCCCAGGGACCCCCAGGGGCCGCCACGCGCGCGCGACTTGGAAACATCATTAAACTCTTATCAGTGATTTTAGCACGCTTCTGACCCGTTGGGCCGGCGAATTTGTGTCCCTGGGTCCGTTCAATTGTCGATGCCGACTTTGGTCATGGTCCATGCGGGTCGTCGCCGATTCGCGACAATGGTCCACGCTTTGACGGTGACCACTGTCGACACCGGCGTTTCTGCGTTCAGCCTCGGTCATGGTCACCGCGCTCTTTCCCTCCAGTCTTGCTCCCCCAAGCAGGGTGCCCCTCGCCCTGTACAGCGGCGTCGCCGACGCCTGCGACCAGGCCTGTCGGTGCGCCGGAGGGGGTGGGGTCGAGGGGGGCCTCCTCCTCGTTCTCCTGCTCGTCCTCCTCCTCCTCCTCCTCCTCCTCCTCCTCCTCCTCCTCCTCCTCCTCCTGTCCTTCTCCTCCTGTCCTCCTCCTCCTGTCCTCCTCCTCCTGTCCTCCTCCTCCTGTCCTCCTCCTCCTCCTCCTCCTCTTCCTCCTCCTCCTCCTCCTCCTCCTCTAATCCGCAGCCCAGGCACACGCCTAGCTTAGATGTGCGTCTCCACCGGGGCTAGGCATGTCGCGGCCGGTGTTCCCCTGCTGGAGAGCGTCAAAGCCTCCACAAGTCTGCGGGCGAAATGCCCCTGACCCAGACCTCGGGAGGGTTGCGCGGCGCAGTTACCCTCGCGCCCCCAGGCGGGGAAGGCGGGGAGGATGATGGGGGAGGAGGAACACGGAACGCTTTCCGCGGACGCGGGCGGCTGGCCCCGAGAGAGAGGAAGGGAAAGGGCAGGAAGGGGGCGGAGGGGACGGGGGGCGGGGGGTAATTACTGGTCGTGGTGTCCGCGCTGGTCGTCGGCGCTGCAGTTGTGGTCGTCGAGGAGGCGTGTCGCCATGCGTCTTGGGACGGCGCAAACGTTCACGTCGACGCGGCCCTGCCCGCCGCTGCTGTTGGGGTCGCTGCCGCGGCGCGGCGGTGGCCGTCGGCATGGATGGTGCAGTGGTGGTGGTGGTGGTGGGAATTGTGGGCCTCACTGGCCTATGACGCTATGCATCATCTCTGCTCGCCCCGGGCCGCTTCATCGACGCTGTGCCCAAAGTTCGGATGAACTCTGCGGCTTTGTCGGACGGGCGGCCCAACATCTAGAAGACCAAAAGGGCAAGGTCATCCCCGCTGGGGGGGTAACCGGGTCCGCTTCTCCCAGACCATGGTTGTTGCGGCTATGCCGTTGTTGTTGTATTGGGCTAGCTTGCGAGGGGTGTTTTTCTGTGCATTCGCAGGTAATGTTCAAGTCAACATAGAGGGGCCGGCCAGTGACCAGATCCGTGGTGGCGACGTCCAGCTCGGCAGCCTTCAGTACGCCTCTACTCTGGTTGACGCGGCCCCACGCTGGGACAAGCTGCTCCGCGGCCGCGGCGAAGCCAGTGAGGGCGGTGTGCAGTTGTGCGTGCCAATCCTGCATGTGGTCATGGCGGGCGGTGCGGGTTTGTCCAACACCGCAACACCTTGCGTGTCACCCGTAGCCGTCCAGTGGCGCGCCACAGACGGCACCGTCGCCGCGGCGGTACTGCCACGCGGTGCTCGGCGGGCAGACGCAGCATCGGAGGCGAAGCTTCGTGGCGGTGAGGACATGTTTCCGGCGCCGCGGAGCGCCAGGCGGTCGGTCTTCCCCGAGCGCGCCGAGAAGCTTGACCCCGGTGGCCGCGGAGCGCGCCTCGTTTCGAAAGTTCGCGTTGCGCGAATGTGCGTATCATGCGGCCGGTCTCGCGGGTCAAGGGGCCGCGTTCATGTACATGACTGGGCGCGTACGTCCTTTTGTTGGCTCCCTAAGTTTGGGGGGTGGGTTCCCGGAAGCAGCCCAGCCGATCGCATGCGCCGCTCGTGGCCCCCAGGCGCGGAGGGCGGCGTCGGATTCCAGGAGGGCCTGGCGAGCTGGGGGGCACTGCGCTCGGAAGCTCTAGAGGACCGCGGCCTGCGCGGCCCCCCTCCGGACGCGGGCCCAGCTCGCCGCGCCCGTGTGCTTGATGAAGAGGCGGCCCCGGCCGAAGGCAGGAATATCCCGCCGCCCTCGAGACGCACGGCGGCCTGCTCGCGCTGCCCGGGGCCCAGCGAGGTCCAGAGAAGCTCTTCCGGGAAGGGAAAAAACTTGGCATCGCTCGGACGTGTGTACTTTTCCATCGGCGAGGACCATCGAGGAGCATCCTTGATCATTTGGCGAAAAGACCACGCACGAAACCGAAAAAAGCACAGGGAATGGACGTCCGAGCGATGGCCAGAAAACACACTTTGCCGAATTGGTCTGCCCGAGAGAGGTCACGATGGGCTCGCAGAGGGCGCGCCACGGCGCCCTGGGCATAGAAGTTCGAGGGGGCGTGAAAAAAGGCCTCAACCGAGAGCCCCGCCGCGGGCAGCACCCAGAGTTGCCCCGAGAGCGCGACGGCTTTGGCCACCTCCTCCTCCTCCTACTCCTCCTCCTCCTCCTCCTCCCTCCTCCTCCTCCTCCCTCCCCTCTCTCTTCTCCTCCTCCTCCACCTCCTCCTTCCTCCTTCCTCCTCCTCCTCCCTCCTCCTCCTCCTCCTCCTCCTCCCTCCTCCTCCTCCCTCCTCCCATCCTCCTCCTCCTCCTCTCTCCCTCCTCCTCCTCCTCCATCCTCCTCCTCCTCCTCCTCCTCCTCCTCCTCCATCCTCCTCCTCCCTCCTCCTCCTCCTCCTCCCTCCTCCTCCTCCTCCTCCTCCTCCTCCTCCTCCTCCTCCTCCTCCTCCTCCTCCTCCTCCTCCTCCTCCTCCTCCTCTGTCAGCTCTGGCGTGGACACGGACTCGCTCGTCCGCCAGGTCCGCCCACGGCGCTTTTTGTATTGCCGAGACCCTTCAGGCGCGCGGCGCGCGGTGGCTGGCCGGGCCGCGGGGTGGAGGTCCGAGCTGGCGCCTGCGGTCCAGGTCTTACAAGTCGGGCCTGCCCTACAGGAGGAATGTCCAAAAGTAGTCAAAAATAATTTTGGGGCGACGTTTGGACTATTTGTGATTTTTGTTCGTGCATGTTTGGATGATGTTTGATTTGTCGTCCAAAATCCGCCTGTAGGGGGACATGTCCGACCTGAAGCTGGCGTCTTCGGTCCAAGCCAGCATCTTTTCTTGCTTGACCTGCAGCTCTTTGCCGGCAAGGCGCTTTTCACGACGAGCTGGTTCGCTACCGCCGGGTGTTCAGTTGAACTGAAGATCATCACGTTGCTCAAGTAACTGAGCACCTCACATGTGGGTGGCAGTCTCTGCAGTGCGGCATGGATCTCGTCCAGGGTGTCGGCGGTAGCGATGACGAACAGCCTTGGGGACAGGGGGCGGCCTTGGTCAACCCCGCTGGTCGCCCGCACTGTAACGGCTTCGTCGGCGTCGTTCCCGAAAAGATGCGTCGTGGTCCTGCCCAGCCAGACTGTCACCATTGTGCCGAGGTCTGGGGCGCGCGCGGCCATGCTGTGCAGAATTCGTTGCCAGAGGATCGTGTTGAAAGCGTTCGCGGCGTCGAATGTCAGGATCACCCCTTGCGGGTTTCCGTCAGGGCAACGAGCGTCGCGCGATGTCTTGCGGATCAACTCGCCGTCTCCTCCTCTTCCCCGTCCTCATCATCATCGTCATCATTATCGTCATCATTCCTTTTCGGCTGTAGCCTCCAATCATATTCCATCCACTCCTACCAGTATCCTGTGTGCCCCGCGACGGCGGCCGGCAGACGCCGAGAGGTTGCCGCGCCGGGCCGTTCCACGCTGCTGCGGGGCCCGCGGGGGCGAGCTCCTGCAGGGCGGCGCGGGCGCCGCTCCCCTGCGCCGGCGCTGCCAGGCGAGCGGCGGCTGCCCTGGCGTTGCTGACCGGGCACTCCTTCACCAGCGTTCGGGCGCGCTCCGCTGCTCGCAAAGCGTCTACCCGCAGACGTCCGGGAAAAGAGTGTGCCTCGACGCAATGGGTCGTAGATCCCCCGCGGCGGATCCAGGCCATCTGCGAGTAGTTACGTCTTGAGAGTAGTGGAAGCGCGTTTGTCTGAGCGTCTCTCCCTGCTTGGCAGTCGCCGAGCGTTCCGCCCGGGCGGGCGTGCGCCCCGGGCCTAGGCAGCTCCTCCTCCTCCTCCTCCTCCTCCTCCTCCTCCTCCTCCTCCATCCTCCTCCTCCTCCTATTCCTTTTCTCCTCACTTCGCCTCCTCCTCCTGCTCCTCCTCCTCCTCCTGCTCCTGCTCCTATTCCTTTTCTCCTCACTTCGCCTCCTCCTCCCCACCTCCTCCTCATCCTCCTCCTCCTCCTCCTCTGCCTCCTCCTTCCTCCTCCCTCCTCCTCCTCCTCCTCCTCACTCCTCCCCTCCTCACTTCGCCTCCTCTCCTCACTTCGCCTCCTCCTCCTCCTCCTCCTCCTCCTCAGCCTCCTCATCCTCATCATCATCATCATCATCATCATCATCATCATCATCATCATCATCATCATCATCATCATCATCATCATCATCATCATCATCATCATCATCATCAATCATCATCCCCCCGCTCAGCTAGCCGGATCTGGCTGATCAGCGTTTGGTTAAGACCCCGTCTTTTCGTCGCGTTGCTTCAAGCAATGGCGAAGCGTCCTGACACAATGGCGAAGCGTCATGGCATGTCTATACTTTCGCAGGACGAAAGATTTTCTTCTTGAGGTGAAAATGACGACGATGAGTTCGAGAAATAACATCGTCGCCGCCGAACGACGGACGGCGTCTGGACGAGTTGCGCGCAACAGCGGGGAGGAGAGAGATGCATACATGTTGAATGGGGCCCGCGCGCGCGGAAAGTTGACTGGAGCGCAAGAAAAAGCACAGGATCCACTTTTGGACCGAACAACAAACAACACCACAATTCGATCCGGCGCGAACGCCACGGATCCGCGGCTGTTATGCTGTAACGTTTGCTGAAGATTTCAAACGTCGTTCTGGGCCCAAGAAAACATTGTCGTCTTGGGGATGTTAGCTCACCAAACTATGCTTTACGAACCTATTGTGGTAGAACATTATGGCTGGGACTGTCCTGGCTTAGCACTCGGCGCTTATGCTTCCAAGAGCACTGTTTGTAGTACATAGAACATCTTTGGGGTTGTGTGAACACTTCGTGTAGGCCTGCAGGAATGCCGGGACGGTCGGTCCCTGCTCAATTGCCGCCGCGCCGCCTTTGGCTCCCGTGGAACATCACACGGCCGCCGAAGGTGAAGGCTTAGCGTTTCGCGGCGCAGGGCAGCGTGGCGGCGCCCCTGGCAGGGTAGGCGTTGAGCAGCGTCTCCCGTGGCGCGGCCGCGCAGTGCCGCCGAGGCCCAGGCCGTCTCGTCGGGTACGTTCGCCAGGGGCGGCAGAGAGGGGGGTGGCTCTAGAGGGGGGGGTGGATATCATGGCGCGGGCCATGACAGTTCCCCAGATTTCACAGCGCCTCTTCTTGTTTCATTGCGTCCTTGGCCCCCCCTTGGGCCGCGCACATCATGCCGCCGGCCATGATTTGACCCCCCCCCCCCTCTTGGACGCCCCCTTTTGGCCGCCCCCGATTTCACCACCGTGGGCACGTCCCGGGCAAGGCTCTTGTACGACACGGAATCCCACCAAGCCAAATTAGGCACGCCTGACTGGGGCCTGTCTGCCGCGACATCTCCTGGCGCTGCAAGCAAATCCCCTTCGTCGCCGTCGTCTGCTCCCTGCAGGGGCGCCGCGTCTCCGTCCGAATTCTGCTGTCGTGCCATCTTCGCGCTGTGGACTTCTCGAACGAACTGCCCGCGGGTCTCCCGGGCTTGCCGCAGAGATTACGGTCGTGAACAAAGCGTTTCTGGACATCAGTGAATTGATCGGTGACCGCGACGCTGTCGTAAAGACCGAGGCCGCCCTCTACGCACTCAGGGTGGTAGTGGAATTTGTGCGCGAGGGTAGTGCTGGGCCTAGAGGTCTTCCCGTCGTATCGTTTTTTTGCACGATTCCACATGGCAGTAGCAACCCAGCGGCTGGCGAGCACATCGACGCCCCAGCTGGTGCCCCTGCGTTCCCTGGCAGCTGTTCTCGGCTCTGGGTGTGGCGCTGGATGCGGCGGCACGGCGTCAAGAAATGCTGGTTGCCACCACGCCGTCCCGACTGCGGCGGCCGCCCAAGCTGTCCCAGCGCCTGTGTCCCAGCTGGGGACCTCGGCCACGGCCAGGCAGACGCTCCCGAGCCTGCACCACCGCAGCCGGGCGTGCACATCGCACGCGTACGCCCAGAGAGCGACGATCCCCACAGGCGCGCGCCAGCTCCCCAGCCGGACGGCCTGCGCGGCCATCCACGGCACGGGACATCAGCATCATCATCAGCATCATCATCAGCATTTGCATCAGCATCATCATCATCATCATCATCATCATCATCATCATCATCATCATCATCATCATCATCATCATCATCAGCGCCATCATCATCATCATCATCATCATCATCATCATCATCATCATCATCATCATCATCATCATCATCATCATCACCATCACCATCACCATCACCATCAGCATCACCATCACCAACACCACCATCACCATCACCATCACCATCATCATCACCATCACCATCACCATCATCATCATCATCATCATCATCATCATCATCATCATCATCATCATCATCATCATCATCAGCATCAGCATCAGCATCAGCATCATCATCAGCATCGTCATCGTCATCCTCCTCCTCATCCTCATCCTCATCGTCATCCTCCTCCTTTCTCCTCTCTTGTGGTCGAGCTCCTACTGCACCCCTTCACTAGGCCAGCCCCTCGGCCACCCGCGCCCGTCCGCCAGGCCGGGCAGTGGGCGCGGGCGCTCGGGCTGCGGGCCGAGCACCGCGAGCGGGCCAGGCAGCTGCTGTGCTGAGGCCGTGCTGCCAGAGCGAGGTCTGCTGCCACGACGCGCGCACGAGGAGGGCGCGGCCAGCTACCAGGACGACCCAGAGAGACGTTCGGCAGCAAATCCTGGGAGCCTGGTGTGCCCGCTTCATTCCGTCTTCAGCGTCGACTGGCGTTTGGGGGTCGATGAGATAGCGCCGATTCATCGTCGGCTAGCGTCGACTAGCGTCAATTTAGCATCGATCAGCGTCGATTCGCAAGAGCCGACAAGATGGGTACGGAAGGCTCCCATGAGTTGCCACCAGATACGGGTGTTGCAAGTTCTTCTCTCCAAGCGTTTTCACCCAGGCTCGGGCCCAGGGACGATCACAGATCGAGCCGCCTCGAAAAATGCGGCTCCTGTCGCGATGTTTTGCGAGGTTTCAATTGTTCCGCACCATGGGATCTCAGGGATGGCCCGGTTAAGGTAAGCCATCGGGGCGAGGCCGACCACTCGCCCAATGGCAATGGCTACGACGCTGATAGCGAGGGGTCGGCCACCAGTGACTGGAGCGGGGCCGACTACCATGGCACTTGCACGGACCAAGGCTTGCTGCCACGAAGAGACCGATTGCTTACACGAGACCAGCTACCAGTGCGAAGCAGGATGCCAAGGCGACGCTGGCCATCAGGACAAGGCCAGCATCTACGACACCAGTTTTCCCGCAACGTGGCCGCAGCATCCTCAGAGCGCGCCGCGGACGTGGAACCAGAAAAGACGACGACGACGTCGACGTCGACGACGACGACGACGACCACCACCACCACCACCACGACGACCACGACCACGACCACGACCCCGACCCCGACCACGACCACGACCACGACCACGACGACCGACGACCGACAACGACGACGACGACGACGACGACGACGACGACGACGACGACGACGACGACGACGACGACGACGGCGACGGCGACGGCGACGGCGACGGCGACGGCGACGGCGACGGCGACGGCGACGACGCTTGCGGCAGCGGCGGCGGCAGTGGGGGCGGCTGCGGCGGCGGGGGTGGCGGCGGCGACGACGAAAACAAAGACAGCCTCGGCCTCAGCGGCGGCGGCGACGTCATGCTGACGCATATATCCGCGATGTCGGCGTGGGTGGAGTCGTGCTCGGCCCCCTCAGGCCGAACTCCGATAAGCAGATCCGAGGAGTCGGCTCGAGGGGCGGGGTAGCACGTTTGCAGGCTGGCCGTTTCCGTGCCTGTGGGGACCGTGTGGTCGGGCGACGGGGCCGTCCGACATCGATCCGGGACGGGCACCCGCCGGGATGGACCCGATGAGCGCCGACGACACCGATTCCTCGCCCTCGCCCTCACGATCTTCACCCGCCGCGCCACCGCCGCCCGCTCGTTCTCGTCGTCGAGCACCGGCGGACGCCCCTTCCTCCATATCGAAGTCGGGCCTGTCTCTCTACAGGAGGACTACTCAAAAATAGCCCCAAAAAATTGTCTGGGGACGTTTTTGTTGTCTATTCGTGCCCATTTGGGAGGTTGTTTTGGGAGTATGTCTTATTTGTCGCCCCAAACCCCCCTGTAGGGGGACACGCCCGACTTAATTCTACATGCAGAAACTCTCGATCAACCGCTGAGCGGCCGGAGCAGATGTTGGAGACGACAGCGACGACGGTGGCGCTTACCCTCGTCGCCACGGTCGGATTCCCTTCGGAACTGGAGCCGCAGAAAGGACGGAGTCGGTGTCACGCAGAAGGCATACGCGCTGTACGCTTCACTGGACCAATTTGAGGCAGCACCGACGGATGGATCTAAAATGGATAGGAGAAAGACGAAGGAGTTGCGATCATCAAGAGAAGGACGGTACCAGCATCGTCGATGTTCACGAAGTGATTGTTCAAGTAAGCGTCATTCATGCATTGCAAGCCGTCCGACCGTCCCGATCGCTAAATTAGATATGACGTGGCATCACAGCAGAGCGAGTGCATATGCCGTTGAATATTTCCACCTCACGTGCAGATGTTAATGTGCTCGTGATTACCACCCGAATTGCGAGATCGACGCGCATTAGTCCATTTCGAAAGCATTGCCGTCATCATTTGGAAACTACAAGAGCGCTGGCAGAAAGGATGTATTTCGGGATTCCGTATGAAATGTTTTGGACATTGTGTGCCGATAGCGATTGTGCGACCGATTCTCTGCAATATGACGTACCGCTTGCATGGTACATTACGCAGACACGACATGTCGCTGCGTTGCCCTGCAGTGCAGCAGAGGATCTGGGATACCGGAACTGGATCGGCAACGGCGCCGGACGTGCGAGCCAGAATCGGAAAATGAATGGCATCGGAACCCGGAGCGAACGAATGGGACGCAATTCCGCATACAGTGGGGGCCCATACCAAGAGACGCTCTGCTTGCTCCCAGGGTGCCCTGGGTTTCTTGGTTTTCGATGGTTTTTCCATGGAACGCGTGACGTTCCCACGCCAAGAGACGACAGACGCCTTGGGTTGGGTTTTTTGTGGAAGGGTTCTTGTGGTCGGGCCCTTCTGTGGAGGGGAACGAGGCAGAGGGCTGCCGCTTGCAGGCCCAGAAAAAAAAACAGTGAGAAACGTGTTGGGGATAACCACTCTTCTCTCCCGCTTTCCCGGCGCTGGTCCCATAGCTCTGCGGACAGAACGGGTCGCGCCAGCCGTGCTCGGACCGGATTCCAGCAAACGTCAAAAGTAGATGTTCAGAATGGCGATACGGTTACATTCAACGCAGAGCAGGGTTTGCAAAGCAGGGTTGTCGTCATTGTTGGTTGGGGGCTCCGAAAAAAAAACGAGGGAAACATCGGCGCAGAGATGGCCAATTTCTAGTCGTTTCGAGTAGCCCCACCAGCTCATCATAGCGTATCCAGAAAGATGTTCAGACATGTTGCCCACTCAGGGATTTGGAGGTGCATTCAATGGAATCAAAGGTGGAGGAGGATGGGAGGATGAGGAGGAGGAGGAGGAGGAGGAGAAGCCTCTTGGGGCTTCTTGAGGGTCTGTTGAGAACCTCGTGGGGTCTCTTTGGGCCTACTGGGCGCCTCTTAAAGCTCTCGTGGGGCACTTGGGGGCCGTCTTGGAGGAGCTCGGTCAAAGAAAGGAAGCTTTTATTAGCGCTGCCCCTTTCGAGCTCGTAAGATGCCCAAGCCTGGGGAGAATCAGAGAATGTTGAAGCCTTCCTGGACGCTCTGACGCCTTGCGGCCCCTTACCCCGAGTCCCAGGGGAAGGGATAGGAAAGGTAATCCCTTCCCCGAAGCGGGAATAAAGGTAGCTGGAAGAGGAGCCAACGCTAGACGTGTGAGCGACGAAAGCAGCCGAAGTTTTCGCTTGACATTGGCGCGCAGGTTGCTCGCGTGAGGCCGCGCGGAAGCGCTCTCGTCTCTGGTGTAGCTTGCCGCGCCTGCGGCGCACGCAAGCCGCACGCAAGCCACCGCGTAGAGTCGCGACGCCATCCCGCGTAAGTCAAGGGAAGAAAAACCTTCAGGACCGGACAATTGCTGGGGCGTTTACTAAACAGCCCTGCCCTGTTCGATTCCTTCAGGGGGAGCGTTTAGTAAATGGCTTCGCGCGTCGGGGTAGTTATCAGGGTGGATTTTTTGCCCGGTGACACCCGTTTCAGAAAAAGAGCACAGCAGTTTCAGAAAAAGGCCGGCTTCAGAAAGAGGGCGCGCCGTTTCAGAGAAAGGCCGAGCATTTTCAGAAAAGGGGCGCGCCGTTTCAGAAAAAGCGCGCGCGGTTTCAGAAAAATGCCCCACCCCCGACTTGCTGCCCCGGGCCCCCGGACCCGGGCCCGACCTCGGACCGCGGGCCTTAGACTTGCACCCGGACCCCGGCCTTTTTGTTCCCGACCCTCCTATGCTTGGGCACTCGTTTTGAATCGAGCAGTGTGGTCGCCCCGTCCTCCTCCTCCCCCCTCCTCGTCTCCTCCTCTCCTGTTTCTTGTGTTCCCCTCTCCTCTTCTCTCGTGCCGTTGGGCTGCGATCCGCGCAACCGTCGCCACTTTCGTGGGCTCCTGGGAGGCCCAGCGGAGGTGGGTCCCACGCGGATCACCTCGGGACCTCGCCGCCCACTGGGGGGCTTGCGATCTGCGCAATTGTCGCCACTGTCGTGGGCTCCCGGGAGGCCCAGCGGAGGTGGGTCCCACGCGGATCACTTCGGGACCTCGCCGCCCACTGGGAGGCTTGCGATTTTCGCAATTGTTGCCGCTTTCGTGGGCTCGTGGGAGGCCCACCGGAGGTGGGTCCCACGCGGATCACCTTGGGACCTCGCCGCCCCCTGGGGGGTTTGCGATTCGCGCATTTGTCGCCTTTTTCGTGGGCTCCCGGGAGGCCCAGCGGAGGTACGTTCCACGTGGATCATTCGGAGGTACGTCAAACGCGTTTTTGTTCAACGCCCCTGTGTTTCCATGTTGTATAGTTGCCGTTATTATTTTTGTTGCGCTCTTCTGAAATCATTGTTGGGTGTTCTTCTTGCGCACTGAGGGTCCTTCAGAATGCCAGTCAGCATTGAAGGGTTGAGTACGTCACATGGTAATGTTTGAAACGGTTGTTGTTGCATGGCCGTGCTTTGCTTCGGGAGGAGGCGGGAGGACGACGGGGGAGTGGAGTGGGCGGGCGTGAATGAGATTGGGAGGGTTGGATTTGGAAGAGGCGCAGAGGAGCGCAAAGGAAGGCGAAGACGCAGGCAGAAAAGGAGAAATTTGCTTGTAATATTTGTTGGAAGTCTCATGTTTAGCTCTTTGGGTGGCCAGGCAGCGCCCCTGGACAAATTTTGGGGTCGATTTTGATGTGCGGAGGGGCTCGGCTCTTCTGCGTTTTTCTCCAATGCTTCCTCGGTTCGTTCTTTCATATTCTTCTATGCTGTTCCGGCCTCCTCAGCGCTCCTCGCGAGTCCCGATTTTCTGCGGATGTGAGAGGAGGTAGGAGGTAGGATCATGTAAAGAGAGGTGGGAGGGAGGAGGAGGTGGGAAGAAGCAGGGTGTACTAAGAGGGGGCACGAGGAAACAATAACGTTCGAGCCGATTAGTTGTTTTTTGTTGTAATATGGTGCTCTATTTGCACTTTCTTGTCTCTTCGTTTTTTCCACATATATTCTTACGCTTCTTATGTTCTACGTCTTCTGACCTCTTCCTACCTATTTATTTTTCTTTGATATGCTTCCCGGTTATGTTGCATGCGGGTTTGGTTTAGCGGGATCCGGCCTAGGTGATTGTTTTCGGTCAAGGTCCGCGACCGGATACATACATATACATTTATGGATATATATATGTGTGTGAGTAGGTATATATATATATATATATATATGAAAATCAAAGCAGAATGTAGACGGTAGGCAGAACGGCGCCCGAAGCCACCAGACATGGAAGTCACACAATATTCAAACGGAATTTCGTTGATGTCACATCCGCCGTCATAATAAAAAATGAATGTAAATGTTCGTCCAATTTTTTGTCTGGATCGGACTTTTTTGTTTGCACGAATTCCGTACCGTCGATGAAATCAAAAATTTCGGAGCCGCAGCCGCAATTTGAACATACAATGGCTGAGAATATGGAGAAAATGAGAAGATTGACAATGATGGTTTCCGGGGCTCAAGGGCTTAAGGGGTTCCAGGGTTCCACAACCTACCTCCTTTTCACTTAATTGCTACATCTTCCCTTCTTGCTCTCACTCACTTCCTACACATATCATTTGATATTATTCTCTTCTTGTTTGCGACCGCGC